CAGAAGTGAGAATTAATGTGTTGGTAAGGAACATTTTATTTCTTTTTGCTTTTCTTAAATGTTTTAATATAAGTAACTCCACGAAATCGCTAAAAAAAAGAGCATAGTCTGATGAAAAAGACGCCAAACTTTATTTGGAAAATCTTGCAAAAATAAAAATAATTGTCAGATGTTAATGAAACTTTCAGAAACTATTCACAGATGATCGAAATTATTATAAATATGTTTTTTTTATTAAAGTCATGGCAGAAATATTTTTTTATATTTATTAACACCCCCGTAACTAATTTTATGAAAAACTCTAGAAATTCGAGCGCATCGGGTTTAGTGACTACAATAGTTAAAAGCACAAGGCTTTGAAGAATGAAAATCATGGTTTTTTTTTTTTAATTGGCCCCACGGTACCTGAAAATCAGCTCTAAATTGTAACATGCAAAACTCAATAAAACAAATATATTATTTAATTTCAAATGCTTTTATTTGTTTTTAGTTGTTTTTATGAATATGGACAATATTTTCTGAAAGCAAAAAATTTTTTCAATGAAAATTGAATTTTTAATACAATTATTTGTTATTTCTTTAATTATAATAGATTTTTACAAAGTTAGTTATTAAGTTTTTTAAAAATATTATAATATTACTTAAAAGCAACTTCAACCTTTCAAAGTGTCCATATGAGATTGTCATTATCTAGCACTTTGAAAATTGTATCATTTGGACTAATCAGAAGATCCGAAGTAATTAAGAAATGTAATTTTTGTGTTTATAATCTGGCGGTAATTATAAAGTACGGAAGACCAACCAGAATACAATTTAGTTGCATTATTTGAGTTCAGCATTGTTTCTCTCTTTACTTTTGCGAAACACGTATGGAGAAGTTAATTTGATTTTTCAATTTCAACTGAGAAGTGTACCTATAAGTATCAGTATCATCTTATGAAATTTAACTACTGCTAAACTTTAATTTATATGATCTTATTTTTATATTAATCTCAGTTATGACATTTTTCCATAAATGAAATATCAAAATTAATAATAAAATGAATGGAAATACAAATAACACAGTAAAATGTAATATATGTACATAAATTATAGTATTTTATGTACTCTTCTGATAAAATTTCATAAGAAAGGTACCTATAAATTAATTAGATACCTTTTTCTTATGAAATTTAATCTCACTATTAACAGTCTTATTTTTTAATTTCTTTATATTTTCCATAAAGCATCGAAAACGTAAAGATGAAAGCTAAGTACAAAAAAAAATTTAAAAGATTAGAGCGCTGAAAGTTTTCCTTAAAAGTAACGAGGTAAATAATTTGTTCACTTAAATCTAAATAATTTCACTTCCTTCCATTCGTAGAAAGAACTATCCTCCCGTAAGTTATCTAAACGTCATGAAAATGTCTTTCGTCACTTGTCAAACGACGCGAAAGGTTATGACCTGCTTTGTTTTATTTTCAAATTACATTTTTTCGGCGCAGAAGTTAAGCTTGGTTCAAAATATTTTAAATAAACATTATAGTTTCTGATTTTATTAAAATCAGTTTTGAAAAGATGATAATTGATTTTTAAAAGAATATCAAAGTCAGATTTTCATCTTTTTTATCAAATGGAAAAAAATGATTGAAAATGATTGATTATCTGTCCATTTTTTTTGACAAAGAAAAACAATATTTTTAACGAAAATTTTACACGTGCTAGGAACGATTAAAAAAAAATATCATATATCATAGCATATCCTTAACACTTACACTGTGGCTATGCAGTATTTTATTATCCGGTCATGATTTTAGCCATCCGAAACATAATAACTAAAAAAAGTGAAGAAAAATATTTGCTTTTTAACATATTTTTTTCTTCTCATTGCACTTAATTCTGTAGTAATTATTAATCACAATACTCAAACATTCAGTTAAAAAGCACGTATAAGACTACGAATTTATTGCTCCAATAATGCTCCTCATTAATTTTTAGTATGTCTGTTGATTATACATCTAAATCTAAATCGTGCAGCTACTCGTATCCGAGTATGCCAGCCTATTACGGCAGATAGCTAATCCCCATTGTAGACGCTTGATCAGGCGCCTTTGCGTTTGTTCAACACCCACAGATCCCACGTGTGGTTTATACTGCAACTATGGTGAGTGAACTTTAGTTACAGTTTCTTTGCTGGGGAGGTGCACGCTATCTAGCGTGATCAATAGTCTGAAGAAGACCAGCACGCTCACACCATGACTTGTAACTTCATGCTAACGCAACCACCAATGACGACCAAGGGTTCCGTCTACACAATTTCAATCACAAAGCTTGGGTTAACCCATGGTATGGTTTTCAGGCACTTACAAAAAAGGTACCGCATGCTCCTCCAGACCGATAAATCGACCATGGTGAAATTCGAATCCGGGTCTTATGGTCAGAAATCGAACGTTCTAACTACTCAGCCACGTACCCCTGATTATACTTTAAGCCTATGTATTTTTCCAAATTTCGATTTTCATGAAAACACACACCGCAACACACACACACATACACACACACACACAAATACACATACGCACGCACTTATTCACTATTTTTATAAATATACTTACTGTTCTCTGCATATGATTCTTTTCAGAAAATGACCTTGATTCAACTACGTTAAAATGTCTTAAGCGTTCGATACCTTCATAATATTATGCATCATATTTGCATTAATAAAATATAACTAAGCAAACTAAGTATGCCCACTTATGGAATCTATTTTTGCTTTTTATACAGGATGCCAATGATCACGCGCCGCAGTTGCAGCCGCAAAATAAAATTGTGCAGATTTCCGAGAATGAACAACTTGGCAATGTATTGGCTACTTTTACCGCCACAGACAGTGACAAACCAGTGAGTATTTTGAAGAATTATCAAGAGAATTAAGTTTCCAAATTACTGACCTTTAATGATTGCATCAAATAATTTCCATTGATTCGTATAATAGGCGATCAAATCAAAATAATTCAATAAAACACAAAGTAAATCGAAATTCTTATTTTTATGCCAATTTACTTTATTAAAATTAAATTTATTTACGATTTACTTTATTAAATATAATTCAAAATAAAAATCTGGTTCATATTTCATATAATGCTTTTCAAATGCCTTGTTTGACGAAAAATATTCAGTAATTAAAGTTTTAATCCTTAATAAATTGTTTTTATTCGGTCAAAAGAAAAGTTATGTTTTTCTGTTGCTGAGTTGTCTCGGTTCTGAGTTATCTCGGCGCTCAGTCGGCGGTGTTGAGTCGGCAGTGTTGAGTCGGCAGTGTAGACTTGTCCTGTCCCCACCCTCTCCTTATACTCCTTATTAAAAAAAAGAACTCTTTGTCAAAAACGAAGATAAAATCCTGAAACTATTTATTCCCGTTACATATTGTACTTGGGCAGCTGCAGAAACTTATTGCCTTTCTTCTTTTCTTATTTTATTACATCGCATCATCTCGTTTAAATCGCAATTGTGTCTACATATTTTAAATATATAATACAATTCAAAAGTTTGAAGCAACCCCCAGAATTAGCATGAGATAAACCTGACAGAAAAGTGAAATTTTTACATCTGAAAATATGAAAAAGAGCTCTTAGAATCATTGAAAAAAGAACGAAATCAATTATCAAACTTATACTTTGAGAATTTTTTGTAATGAATGCCAAAGATTTGTACTGCGATAATCAAGGCTAAAGGGGGATATTTTGATGAGAGCAAAATTTAATCATGATTTTTTTCTTATTGTCATAATAAAATTTCTACAAAAAAAATCATGTCTCGCGTTTTAACCACGTATAATAATTTTCTCTTATTTAAAGTACGAAATAACTACTTTGGGCGCCAGTTTCAAAAAATTACCAGGGGTTACCTTAAACTTTTGTAATGTAGTGTATGTTTATATATTGTAAATGTAATGATAAATGTTGTGTCGTTACTACTGATGATAACAGTTATGATTAACTTGAATCTGAATTACTTAACATTACATTTTATTCAACTCCTGAATTCACCACTTACTTTCAGTCAGTTTGTGAGTGCAGTGGTCCCGGTTAGATATATGGGCCCTGCATTCATACTACGATGTGCGAGAGGCTGTCTAAATCCTTCTCTTGGGTGGTTATTTATATATATCTATCTGTCAACGGTTTTTCTAAAATCCAAGCATAAGTTAACATCAGAACCACCTCCTGTGGTCATTAATGAAAACAGGTGTATCATGGATATACATCTACACCTGGGTTCATCCTAAGTCAACTCTGCACCTGGCTTTCTCTTGAGACCAAACCTATTCCAGCATAATGCTAAACATTTTATACATTTTCATAATGCTTTGATGCAGGTAATGAATACGAAAGTTACTTTCGTCGAAACCCCGATATCTTTCTCATTATCCTCGACGATAATAGCAATCTGAACACTTCTCTGAACTTCCATTTCATCAAATTTTGTTTCTCATATTTTTGATACGATTCAAGTTCACGAATTATTATGGCTACAGCTTTCAACAGAGATTCTGTTATTTTTTCTAATCTATTCTTTCTTTTATCATGCTGCGTTATGCTCGAACAAGTAAGTTTACGATGTAACAGCACAATTTTTCCTTGTAGCTAATTTGACTGTTTAAAGTGTTCATCTAGATCTCAAAGTCATGGTTTTTATGCTTTTGTCTTGGAAAGATTCTGTTTTGCAGTGATACCATTTGTTCACAAATTCTGAGAAAAGTCATTTACACAGTTCCCAATGCACAACAATCTCTGTTTTTATGTTAGCTTATTTATACTTTTCCCACAAAATGTTGTGTTGGTTTTAAGGGAAAGAGTGGCCGTTTTCGCTTTGCCCTGGTTTACAATAAGAAGAATGTTTTTTTGTTTTTCATTTATCAGATGTCCTCTGTGTATTTGTATTTTTAATTGCTGATGATATTGTTAATTATGCGTTTTTAAACGTACAAATTCTGATTCTTTGCTTTATTATGTTTACAGAATACGCCGAACAGCGATGTCATTCTAAGTATCCAGTCAGTCACTCCAAATTCAGGAAATGGTTTGTTTTACTTGAACCCAATCACCGGATCTCTTGCTGTTGGCAAAACCTTAACACTCGACACACAACCCGAATATAAAGTGAGATTTTTTTCCTTTTTTACCATTTTACGTAATTAATTTTCTAATAATTAATCGTTCAATTTTTCTTTATACCAGAATGAAGTTTCTCGTGAGAACATAAAGTTTGTATAGATAGATAGATAGATAGATAGATAGATAGATAGATAGATATTAAATGAAATGTTCAAGCATCTTCTCTATTGACCGCTGAAGGCCGATAAATCTATTGAATTATTACAGGATATCATATTATAATCTACAAAAAGTAAACAGTAATCATAAATTTCAAATGTAAAATTTGAATTATGGACAGCATTTAAATATTCAGAAGTTAAAATATTCAACATTTTTATATAATTTCATCGTAATAAATATGAAAAAAAAACTCAAACACAGCAAATTCATCGAAAATCATATAATTCGGTATATAGAAATACTTAATTTAACGTAGTATTCAAACTTCATATATACTGCAACAATAATATATATATATATATATATATATATATATATATATATATATATATATATTAATTAATTTGGTATATTAAATGGAATGTATCAGTTTAAATGAAGATATTTTTTTCCATTTGATTTCTTTTTCTTTTTCTTTTTTTTTTTTACAGATTGTTATTAAAGGTACTGATAGAGGGCAACCTGCGCTGTCTGGTTTATCGACGTTGACTGTCAAGGTCATTCGCAATGCTCGTGCTCCAAGTTGTCCGGCTTTGAAAAAAGTTACTATTTCCGAAATAGTAGCTCCCAACACCTTCGTGGCCACTTTAACAGCAACGGATACTGATCCAAATGTGCGTTGATCAAATTTTTTGTTTTCTTCTAGAAATCTGCTTGATATCTTTAGTCACTTCAAACGTTTTACAACGTTTTATATCACACGTAGTGCATGAGCACTTAATAGATCAGAAAGATGGAAACGTAATCCTGTAGTCTGCAACAGCCAGAGACCTTCTGTTATGTAGAAGTCATTGAAAAAAACAACTCACTTTTCTGTAGTGGAGTGGCTTCGCTTTATTTGAACGTAAAATGGATGGTAAAAGACAGATGGGAGGAGAAACAATTTTGTATAGTTTGAATTTCAAATCATTGAAGTACTTATGGCCGTTTGAGTTGCAAAGCTGTTTCTGCCGAAGCGCTTGGTGCACGAAAAGCAGAGTAGATAGGTCAGCTTACGGCCATATCAGATTGAAATACACGTTTTCGTATGATCATTGAAGTTAAGCAACGTCGAGCCTGGTTACTACCCGCTTTGGATTACCAAGTGTTGTAAGCTAGGATGTGTAGATAGTGTAACATCGGGATTGTTAATCTGAGAGCCGAGTTCCAATTCCAGTTAGGTTCGTTATATTCACTTACGCGCAAATACTCTTGGGAAATATATGAATCCACCTCTTCCCCCCAGCTATGGGTTATTTAGTAAGATTTGTATCACCAAATCATTATTATCTCCATTCACCTTACAAAAATTACAATCTAAAATAATTTCTGGCTTAGAAAACGAATCAATCAATCTAATTTGTGCCAATGATAACAAGAAACTTAAGTTACACACTAATAGTTTGTTAGTTGCTCTCGGTCAGGCTGTGTTGCATTCCCTGTTGCCTCTCTTCCGCTACGCGGACCTTACATTCTTTCTTTGATGTGTGAGAGACTGATCAGTCATTTCTTGGACATTTTTTAAGATATCTATCTGTCCAGCATTCTTGTTTCCACGCTTGCAATGCTGGATGTAGTTGTGAGGTTACATACTTTTGCATTCGTTGGCAACGAGTAACCCTATGCCAACTCTTTATTTGGTTTCCTTTGACAGTTTTGTGTGACATTTTAATGCAATGTCTATACTGGCATAATACAACAGTGCATTTGTGGTGCGTTTATTGATCAGATCCTTATCAGCCCATAATCTATTTAGTTGGCTATATGATACGTGATGTGCAGCTTACATGCTCATGTTTCCATTAACAATATCATATTAACAATTATAAGAAACACGTATTTGATTTGGTCTATTCCATGACCTTTGTTAGTTAAGTGATATGGATAAACAATTTACAGATATACAGTTACATTTTTAAATGATTTCATTTAATAGACATTCCGATTGTGTCGAAGGAATCAAATTATTTCTATAATTTTTGGTGAAAATTACTTTACTAACTACCATAAAGCAGAATTCGAAACAATATTTGTGACACACTCCAAGACATGTGTTTGAATTAATATCTCTGTTCTTTATTTTCTTAAAAAGAGAAATTAATATCAACCAGCCTCGATTGAGAAGTTCTACTAGACTCGTTGCTATTAATTTCCTTGTTTAAGAAAAAAAAACAAAAACAGGGATAACAACTCAAATACGTATAGCCATTAATAGTAACGTTTACAGTAATAAGAAATAAAGTCCAAATTAAAAAGAAATCCATAATATATATATATATATATATATATATATATATATATATATATATATATATATATATATATATATATATATATTATAAATTATATAGATTAATCAAATAGAATAACTGTGAATAATTAATATTTGAATGATAATTTTATTTTCTATGTTATATAAAAGTATGTCACTTTCTAAAAGATAAATCTAATTCAAAAACGTCTTATCCTTTCATTGTCTAGATCTATTGAATGCCGGAGTGTCTTATCAAATGTTCTCAATTCAAGGAAGTAACATTAGAAACACGTTTATTTGATTTCTGACCAAAAAAGATCTGTTAATTTTAATATTGCAAAATATTAACTTTAAATATTTAAATTTAGGTTATTTTAGATAAAATTTGTAAATAAGTCTTCATTTTAAATATTAAGAAGTTTCCGTTTTATATACAAGTGAACACATACGAAATGGTAGATGTATGTATATTGATGGATATGTATACTTGTTTTTGTGTTTAAAAATATCTCATTTGATATTTGTTTTGTTTTCTCAGGAATTTGGCAAAATTTCTTATAGTCTCATCGGCGAAGCCAATGTACCGACTTATTTCCAAATTTCATCGACTGGTACGATTACTACGAAGACTGATTTGAAGACCGATTCTGTTTTATTATACAAGGTAAAAACATATTTCTCTTTATTTTATATACTGTACCCAAAATCACCCTTAAAAATTTGGGATCATCTTATAATACAATTATAAAAAAGAAACTTTAAACTCTGAGTGATGTTTGTTGGTAGGCTAACCTCGGCCTCGGTGCGATAATCAATAACGTATATGAAAAGATTCACATTATAAATTGATAATAAAAGTAATAAAACTATTTCTATCTTATATATTACTGGCATAACTTCATAATAAATTGCCTATTAGAAGAATAATTTCATATCAATTAAATCAACTTGTATCAATGCAAGCTCAACTGAGAAAATGTAAACATCGAGTTATGATTGCGCTCATAGCAACCTTCATCTTTCGCTAAACTTTCAATAATGGAATGTACTATTATCATACATTATCGTACTGATATTAGCGGTATTTTGTGATTGTCGATAAAGTATAAGTAAATGGCCATTAGTACACCAGGGGGCCTGTGTAGGAAAAACATGTTACAGAATCGGTTCTGTTATTTCGTTATTTTGAATTGTTAAAGATACAGTAAGTAACAATATTTCAAATAACATCATATTTATATAAATAATAAGCAGTCATCTTATAATACGTATAAGTATGATAAATACATGAAAATTTGCTATTTTTTTTTTTTTTTTTTCCTTGTCTTATGAAAAGATTGACTTATACGCGGAAATACACGGTCATAACGATTAAATCTCAGAAACTTTAATCTTATTTGTGTAGATATTATCTAATATTGTACGAAGTTAGTAATGGCTGATACTAAATGACTTAATGAAGTATTTTTTTCAATAACGCGAAGTAGCAGTTGTTGAAAAATAAACACACATACATGCATGCATAAGTATATAAATATATACTTCTTTAAATTCCTTTGAATTTTCACATACGGGATTTCGTTTCACATGTGTCTGAAATTTATGACATAAATGCATATTCTGAAAAGTGACATTTCAATTCATATCCCTTTAGGATTAGTTTGTGAATAATGAATCTTGGATGTTTTTAAGTTAAAAGCCAAAATTAAAAAAATAGATACATTTTCATTTGATTCATTTTTATTTCGGGAAAGAAAGAAACACTACAAACAGCAAAAGGTATGTGCCGTTTATGTAAACGGTCCTATAGCGGAAAGTACTATTTGCTAGGTTCATAAGTGTAAATTTTTAACACGCGGCACGGAACATCGCATATATATAAAACTTAATTACAGTTGTGCACAGAGTTATTCACCCGCCTTCCATGATTACAAATGAAGCTGTAATACTTTAAATTTTCATAGAAACTTCATGTACATTTTTTCACAAATGCTGAAATAATGGACTTGAAAGAATGTAAAGTGATACCCACAACAAAATTTTAATTTTAATGTCAAAATATAAAAAATAAACTCCAAAAACATTTAATATAGGACAAAATTATTGGCCCTCTTCCCTCAATAATTAATTGTGTAACTTTTATTCTTTAGTAATTTTTGATAGTTTCTTACAAAATCATTACAAAAACTTAATCCTTACAAAATCATTACACACACTAACAGGTATTTTTCTCCATTTTTTTCTGGCAATAGCTTTTAGTTCCTCTAAATTTGAGGGACATTTTACTCTTTTTTCTTCAAATTTGCCCATAAATTTTCGGTGGGTTTAAGTTTAGTGTATCTTTAAGGACTGTGTGGGCTACACCAGTACCTTAATTTTGCTATCATCTAGATATTTTGTAACAATTCGTGCCGTGTATTTCGGGTCATTGTCATGTTGAAACGTCCAGTGACGCCCCAAAGACAGCTTTCATTCACTTTGTTTTATATTAGTTTTAAGAATACCCAAATACTGCTCTTTATCCATTTATTCTTTAGTTTTTGCCATTTTTAATCCTTGAATTGCAGAATGCATATCAAAGAGTCAGATGATTAGTAGCACTATCTTGTAAACAATTGTGTGCTTCTCTGATTGGTCAGAGATAACATTCCAATACTATCGAAATTTTGAATATTTAAAGTCTTTTAAAATACAAAGTTTCGATTGGAAATTTGAAAAAAAAAGTGTCATGTATCCAATACTTTTGCATAGGGTAATTTTGAACTTTGATAAAAAAAAAATGGATTCAACCATGAGTTTTTAATTTTCCTTCCACATACAACGAAAACAACTTTACGAGATATTACTTACCAAATATCAGGCAAAATGCCGAACATAAACTAGAGTTATAACAGAAAATGCCATGTATCCAATACTTATGCGTGTCACTGTATATATATATATATATATATATATATATATATATATATATATTTATATATAGAAAATACCTTGAAAATCCATATCGATTATAATTTATTTCATGTATAATTTTATATTCATCTCTTGAGATGAATAATTTTTAAGAAATGGAATCAATACTAATTAAAAATTATTCGGTCTTAAGAGATGAATATAAAATATTAATGAAATAAATTATAACCGATATGGATTCTTAAAACGTTTTTAATTTATCATTATATTGCTGTGTAACTTACATTGAGCTCTTATTGAATTAAAGTCCTACTTGGAATAATACCTACCAATTACAAACTGGTATATATATATATATATATATATATATATATATATATATATATATATATATACTGGATTGAAGCAAACATTTGCAACATTTGAACGCGTTATTTAGTTTCATAAATTACTAAAATTTAATATATACATACAGATTATCTAAAATAGATGTTGCGCGAAAAGGGTTCTGAGGAAAACGAGATGCATCTTTTTGTACAATTTGTGTGGATTGTCAATTTCACGTTAAAAGCGAAAATGGATCAAAATGAGATGAATTTTCCTCATTCAATGCTCTTTTATTTCTGGAAAAATAAAATCTGTAAAAATAGTTATGTGCTATTTATGCAGGTGATGATGCCATAACTGAGAGTAATCTTCATAAGTGACTTACTAGGTTAGGTGGAAATGTTAGGTCAGAACTGCAGTTGCTGAGGATAACCAAATTGAAGCGCTAATATAATCCAGGTAATACAACTCAGGACATATATGAGATAAGCCATATACCGCATATGAAACACACACATACACACACAAATGTGTATATATATATATATATATATATATATATATGATAAAAATATAGGTTTTAGTTTTAAGGTATGCTATATTATGGACAAAAGTTCTCAATAAAAGCGATAGATATAAAATTGGACAATCAAGTCAACACCGAGTGGCAACTGCTTAATTCATACTCGAACGCAATCTTTAAGCAATCAGTGTCGACTTTATATATATATATATATATATATATATATATATAGATATATAGATAGATAGATAGATAGATAGATAGATAGATATTACTTAATGTTTAATTTATAATTTCTTTAGGTCACCCTTTTGATGTTTATTTATCTCTAAAATTCCATTCTGTCTTAGCTGCTCGTTGAGGCTAAAGATGGCGGCGGGAAGAAGTCGATTTGCACTGCAGAAGTGACCGTTAACCGAAATCTGAACAGCCCAGTTCTGAGGACGCTGACATACACCAAAATCGTGGATAGTACTTATTCGTTAAATACCCCACTCTTGAAAATAGACGCCACTGATGCTGATTCCCAGGTTAGTTCATGTATACTCTCTCTCTCTCTCTCTCTCTCTCTCTCTCTCTCTCTCTCTCTTGGAAGATAACAATTGTGAGGTAAGCAGTCTTTATAAATGCACTGTTCACATTAAGAAATAGAACATTTTGAATAAGTAAAGAAATAAAAGTTCAAAAGATTATTTCCTCACTTCAAGTCTCGCATATTACATAGTATCAAAGAGTTATATATTACGTTTTTATTCATTAACAGATAACATGTATTTTTCAACGATGTTGCATAAAAATGTTAGCTTTTTATGTTATCACATATTCTGAAGTATTCTATATTCTAGCGTAATCGATTATGTGTATTAGATCATTTTTAGAGAATAATTTATTGATAGGAATTCGTGTAAATTCAATCTTAATGAATAATATCAATTCTTCTCATTATGTATATTTTATTTCATACGAGATACAAATATTTATTGAATAATATTTATTTAATAATATTGAATAATATATTTTTCTTTATTAATGGTTGTAACAGTGCAATTATCTCCATTCTTAGCCTACCAAGGAGATCCTCATACATTATCACTTTTCAATGCTCCGTCAGCCTTACTTTTAGGAGCAGCTGATTTCACCTGACTAATTTTTATCACAAGTCCAAGAAATGAAATAGACACAGTTTTTGATGATGTTGTCCTCTGTGTTAGGAGATATTTCTCTGTAAGTTCAAGCTGCGTTTAAATATTGTCCTGATGGTGTATGGTTCGCAGTCTTTCTGAATGCTTTCCAAAATTCTCTTGAAATAAAGAAGGGAGATCAAAACTGTTTTTACTTTTCAGGTCCTCGTCCTCGACCTTACTGTTTGATGTACCTCTAAATAAATGTATAAATAAAATGAATATTCTTGTTCTATATTATAAACTGTATTTCTCCATTACGATAAATGTAATGATAATCGTTAATAAGTATTTGAAGAAAGCAATTATATCTCGTATCCAACATTTATAATAATATTTGCTGAATAACATTTTGTTTTTCATTCTCTTTTAGGCCCCGCACAATCAGCTGGAATATATTATTGACGGGCTTTCTCCGTATCTAAGAGTCAATGAAAAGGGTGAAGTTTTTCTGACCAGTTTCCCAACCGACCTAAATGTTAACACAATTACTGTAAGTTTTATATTTGTTAGCAGACAAATAAATATAGAGATAGATACGGTTTCAATTCTTTATTTTAACAAAATCGAGTCCACAAATGAATTAACTTATTAAAAAGAAACGATAGCACATTATCATTTTTTGATATGCTTCCTCGAACAGATCGCGGGCAAAATTAAATGTATACCGTAAATCAAATAATAAAAAGAAACAAACACATGCAATTTACTCACATCAAGATAATAAGATAAAATGCTAGATTTGTACACTGAGTCGTGCGAGAAAATTTTTCTCGTTAGAATCAATCTTAAATATTTATAAGTTTACCATTTGTCTATACTTTGGATATTGATGTCATATATTGTCTGGGGCTCCTGATGGGGAATGGAAGAAGGAAAACATTACCTATATTTAAAAAATGGGAGGTGTCCCTCGCCGGTGCGCGCAATAAAATACACACCAACACTACCACTAATTCATGTCTATCACTCAACTTAAGGGACAGACACAAATCAGTGGCAACATTGGCGAGTGGCAAGTACATACGAGAGAAGCCAATCCCCCAGCAAATAAAATGAAACAAAATGAAATGGCTATCCTAAACGAAACGATTATCTATCTACAAGTTAATTTGACGAAACTTAATTTTAACGACTAACTAAACGAAACAACTATCACTATGTATACAGCGTGGGTGGGGGAGAAGGAAAAGATTACCTGTCAAAAATGTAATTAAATAAAAAACAAATGGAGCAGGGTGTTCCATCGCCCCTATAAAGCACTCGCCACACCAACACGATCAATAATTCGCGTCTATTCCTCAACTAGAAGGACAAAGGCAACTCAATAACAACATCTTATCGGTGACAACTTCATTAAGAAGCACCTACGAGAAATGCATACACTCCCCATAAAAAAATATTATGGACGAAAACGAGCTCTAAAAACAAAACACGATCGAACAAAAAAATTAACAATCAATATATATATATATATATATATATATATATATATATATATATATATACGTGGCGACTCCGATGGTTGGACTTGTCGGCCATTCATTTCAGCTGTGTCCAAATTGTTTTAATTCCGTGCCTCAAAATATTGTTCATAAGAAAGAAAGAAAGAAAGAAAGAAAGAAAGAAAAAAATAAATTAATGTGCCTAGTCAGGCTACCTAGATCTGAAACCCTATCTGAGCGGGGGGGGCGCATTTAATAGGTAATGTATTTCTTGCTTTAATTTTATAAATAATCTTTTAAAAACCTTTAATGACTTGTATGTCCTGTTTTTCAAAGAACGCATTTTTATTTCAAATTATTGTTTTCAAATGTACATTTCAAATAATTTATTCTGTACAGTATAAGATGTTTTTAATAGAATGTATCAAGGACAAATTAAATTTAGCCCAACCTAAACTCGGCGAAAATTAAAGAAAGTTACTGCCTTAACTGATCGACTGGAGGGTCGAGGTGAAGTGTGTAACTAGGATAGTGTTATGGATATATATCAGTCATCAGTAGTAATCATAAACGTAAAATTCCCAAGCACAGAGATGCATAAACACACTAACGCATACACATATATTCAAACATACACTCACGATAGATAGACTTATTTTAGTTAGAGTCAAGGAATCATTTTCGCATCTCAGTTATACTAATTATATTTTGATTGTAATGAGCCCCGACAAACATTGATAACCTAGATTCGCTACTAATATATATATATATATATATATATATATATATATATATATATATATATATATATATATATCCGGGTTCGGACAAAATTGAAAATGATGAATCAATATTATTAAAATATTGCATCTTTATGTTGTTTAGTAATACTACTATGTGTATTTTATATATTTGTCTATGAGATTATGAGAATACTATTCATAATGCAATTCGGAATTTGCCCCGATGTTCGTCCCAATTTAAGAACATATAAGAAATGCTGTATTCTTTGAGTTTCTTAAATGTATCTACGCAATTCAAGCTGCAAAATCCACCCAACGCACTTATAGGGTTCATACTTTGAGTGAAAGCAGTTGTAGAAAGTGGTTTTCCCACTTCGGAACTGGGGTTTTTAGTCTGAAGGGAAAACTAGAAAACTAGACCTAGAGTAGGTCGTCAAAAGGGATTTGATTCAGAGGATTTTGAAGCTGCTATTACAGTAAATCCTGCCACGACGGTCAGCGGATTCAGTGAGACGCTAGTTACACGACAGTCCTACGTGATTTAAAAAGTTTCAGTGGTTGGAAAGTGATTCCTGCAAGACCTAACTCTAGGGAATCACCTACAACGTGTCGATTTTTTTTATGTATTGCTTACACGATAACTTTGAATGCCCTTTTTGAACAGATTTTTACTTGTGATGAGAATTGGATCATTTACCATAACGTTAAGCTGCGTTGTCCGCGGATCAATCGATGAAACAGGCCTGCTCAACAACCGAAAGGAGAATTTAACCAAAAGAAGTTTATGTTAAGCGTGTGGCGGGATATTCAAGGAATCATTCATTGTGAACTCTCAGATAATAATTAAACAGTCTGATCCACACTGCCAATAACTTCATCGCTTGAAAGCAACTTCAGACAGAAAACTTCCATCCTTAGTCAACAGAAAGTCGGTAGTCCTCTATCATGATAATGCACGTCTTCACACTGCATGATCAATTAAAGTTTTCTTGGAGGAACTCGGTTGGGAAAAATCGTTTTCTCCTCCATATTCCCTTGACTTTCTTCCTTATGATTATCACTTGTTTCGGGATTTACAGAAACATTTGGATGAGCTAAATTTGACATCAAAATCCAGGAGTTGGATATCTTGTTATATCAAAACTTTTTGAATTTTATAAATGGGGCATCTTGTATTCAGATTGAATGGAGTTCTAGGAAGTAATGGAGGTTATATTTATAATATTATTAATTTCATTAATATATGTAATAGGACAAAACTTTCATTCCAACCATATATATATATATATGTGTGTGTGTGTGTGTGAGTGCGTGTGTGTGTTTTTTGTGTGTGCGCGTGTCTGTGTGTGTGAGAGAGAAAGTATGTGTGTGTGTATGTATTGAAAAATTCCTCCAGCGCAACCGACTTCCCTTCAATGTGCATGTGTGAAGCAAGTGATTTTTATCTATTATTTTATGATTTTTTTTTTCTCAAATTTCAGGAAACAATCACAGTCAGAGACAAAGGTCTACCAGTTCCGCGTACGGCAAGAAATAAAGCCATTGTGACTCTTACGCTTAAGAGGAACAAGAATGCACCTGTTTTTTACATCAAAGATTTCCAGAAGACAATCAGAGAGGACGCGCCTAAATTAACGCCAATTACAACTGTCTTCGCAAACGATTCCGATTCTCAGGTTACAAAATTTGCACTTTTCTCTGTACTTATTGACTGTTTTTACAAAAATACAGACACTCGTTATTGACTTTAATTTTTATTTTCAAATCAAGAAGAACGTATCTGTATGAGTAAATTTGAATTAAGTTTGCTGATTAGTTAGTTTTATCTAATCGGTCTGTAGCTGTCCGTGTCAGGCTCCAAAAGACAGATGATGCAAGTTCGAATCTCATCACAAGCGTACTCTTTATTTCTAACCAATGCAACTATTTTGACGGTTATAGCGTCACGATAAAAACATAACTAGAAAACATATCTAATTTTCAGCATTCATATTTTCATGCCTTTTCATCTCCTTTCAAAAATGATCCTGATCTCCCTTTTTATGAACGAAAAAAATGAGCTTTTTAAATTATCATCTTGCAAGAAATAAGAAAATATAATATTATATTTTTCTTAAATAAGAATATATAGTATAATAATATATATATATATATATATATATATATATATATATATATATATATATATATAATAGTATGTGCTACACGTCGATTATCAAGCAACAATGGT